CGGTCTTATCCTACAAACTTGAACGCAGTAAAGAGCTTCCTCGGTGATAATTTTGATTGCGGTAGAGGAGGACTTCCAAGATAGGTACTGGTCCGCCCTTTCCTTTTCGTTGTTAATCACCTCGCGAGGATGATTCTGTTCGAAGGTGACCGACATGCGAACATTTCACTTTCTACAATTAAACGCAAACGATTTTTTTGTAGGAGGTTGACCAGGTAACTTGACCCAAATGAGCTTGAACTCACGGTTTCCGGTCAAGGCTTTAAAACTCAAGTGGCTAGAGCGTTGTCCGTACAGTCGGACTAGTTTGTGGATCCTGTGGAGGGGACCAAGGCGCACGCGCGTACACAAGGGTTTAGAACTTGCACTCAGTCCATCAGCTGGACTCGAGCTGTCAAGATCCACGTTTTGGCACTCTCATGCACGCGATGAAAGCGGGTGTATATGGGCAATGGCTTTCAGTCGATGGCTGACTGGTTACCCGGTCGTTGAAGGGTGATGGTCCATGCTAAGCACAGGCCTGCATCTCACCCTTCTAGGCCTTGAGGATTGTGTGCGTCTGCTATGCCGTTATCCGCCAAGCCGTGGCCCTCGCAGCATGATGAGCGTTGGCAGTTCTCTGACACCTGATCCCCTGCTGGTGGATGAGATTGCGTCCCCACTAGTCATGCAGGTCGTGTTCATGGCTGCCCAGTCATCCTCGTCCTTCTGATCTGTTTATTTCCCTGTCGGTTAAAATCTTGGCGCAGTGTTTGTTGTGAACCAGGCGGGTGTGGCGGTACGCCTAGGTGCGGGTGCGTCCGTCCGTGCCTGCCGCCTGAGCCCTCTCTCGCCTCCGCTCTTCTTGAATATGTCTTGACAGCGCACACAAGTGGGGAGATGAGAGTGCAGTGGATGCTGCGCAAGTCCGCTTTCACTATAAATTAATTAAAGCGCATTTCACTGTGCCTGCTCTCGCGTCGCTGCGGAGCACACGGTGGACATCGTCGACAACGGTGATCGAACTGTCAGATCCACGTCCTAGCAGGCGTACTAGATAGCATGCATCGGACAGAGTCAAAATCACGCCGGCATTGTGTCAACTGGGTGCTTTGCATTCTCCAATTTGCGTGTGGTGTTTATCCCACTTCCAAAAACACGATGGCTCCTTTGATTGTTTTCGATATTTAAAAGAAGACGAAGGCACGATCACTGGGACAGTAGATTTATTTGCCTGAGCTTTCGAACTCGAACTGGAGTTCATCATCAGAGACTACTTGAGTGCTGCAAATTGTTAACACTTGCGGGGGGGGAGGAGGGGGAGTACGCCCGTGGCTAGGTAGGGTTTGTGCCGCCTGGTCCACGATGGACCCCAGGCGTGGTGGCGCCGTTTGTACTTCGCGACGGTGTGAACTGCGCCACCTGGCTGCGTGAGCGGAGCGCGTGATAACACGCAGGCGAATCGATGTGTCTGTTGATAGAGTTGGTGTCCGACACCCACGCCTCCAACAGCTCTCGCCCTGTCTTGTTGCCCGCTCGCGCCAAGATCCGTGAGTTGGCGAAGTCGAACTCATGGCCTTCCTCCAACGTGTTAGTGGCTACTTCAGATAGTGGGTCGCCCCTCCGAACGGCCCGTTTTTGTTCAAGTATTCGGGTGCTAAGACGTCGTCCTGTCTGGCCTGTGTAGTGGCAAGGACAGTTTTGGCACGGGATTTGATAGACTACGTCCGACTGTTCACCTGCCTCCAGCCGATCCTTCATTTTCATGATCCTGCTACGCATGGTGGCCGCCGGATGATGAGCGATGCCCACGCCTAGCTCTGACGCAATGCGTTCTATAGCCTCGGACACATTCCTTATGTACTGTAGGGAATGCCAAATTGTTGGTGTCTCTCTTCCGTTTGTCCGTCGTGGCTGCGTGCTTACGCAGGAGTTGATGAAACTATTTAGGTAGCCGTCCTTTGTTAATTGGTCTCGGAGATGCCGTAGTTCTTGCATCCTTCCTTCGGGCTCGCTACATTGCGTTTTTACCCGGTCGAAAAGTGCCCTCACACAGCCCCGTTTGTGCACCAATGGGTGGTTGCAATGATAGTTGAGGACCTGGGTTGTATTGGTCGCCTTTCTGTACACTGTAGTGCTGAGTTCACCGTCAGGTGTGCGCGTGACGAGCACGTCCAGGAAGGGTACTTTCTCGTCCTCCTCGTCTTCTCCTGCAAACTGGATGTCGGGGAATATGCTGTTAAGTAAGTCTTGAAAACCCGATAGCTTGTCCTTTTCAATAATGACGAATGTATCGTCCACGTATCGGCGCCAAAACGCAGGTTTGTAATGGCTGAAAGCAGCCTTTTCCAGTTCTTGCAGGACCAATTCCGCAACTAGGCTGGATATTGGGGAACCCAAGGGGTGTTCCTTTGATTTTTTCGTATGTTCTGCCATCGAAGGTGAAAAAGGTTCGTTGGCAGAATGCAAAGAGCTGCATTAGGTGCTGGATCTTTAGCGGCCCTGTCTCTTCGTCGTACTTTTCTTCAAGGCGTTTGCGTAGCACATCGCGCGCCAAGCCTGGTGGGATGGGCGTGAAAAGTGAGACGACATCGAAGGATATCATGATTTGGTCGGGTCGAATACTTTTTCCCCATATGTCGCCAAGGAATTGGGAGGCCGAATTGACGGACGTCACAGAGCCCTCTCGGAGAAAATTGAGCTTTCGGGACATCCATTTGGCTAAATTGTATGTGGGGCTGCCTTTCAGGGCAACGATTGGCCGCAGAGGAACGTTGGGTTTGTGGATTTTTGGTTGTTCCCCTCCTCCCCCCCGCAAGGACGAGCGATATAAATGGTCACAATTTGCTGCACTCAAGTAGCCTCTGATGATGAACTCCAGTTCGAGTTCGAAAGCTTAGGCAAATAAATCTACTGTCCCAGTGATCGTGCATTCGCTTTCTTTTAAACACGAACATGGGATGCGCATATTCTCTTTCATTCGTATTTTCGATATGCTTGTAGGATAGGCGCCATTTAATTTACTGGTCGAATCTCATTTCGTAGCCGTACCTGCAGTAGACAAGCTCCAGCCTGACCCCTAACCTCTAACCCCTAACTCCCACCCATAACCCTAATCCCTAACCCCAACCGCCAACTCTAACTTCTTACCCTAACCCCCAACTTTAACCCGTAACCCCTAACAGATACGGCTACGAAATGCGATCTTGCCAGCTTATACTGTAAAAAAACTTCTGCTTCATAGTGTGGCATTCGGTTGTTAACTTTGAGAGGAAAATTCTCTAAATTACAGTAAACACTGCCTTGGAGTATCCCGTGTTTAGCAGGTTATAACGCCTTTAATCAGAGCCAATCCAAAATATAAATATTCCATATTTCTGGTTGGGAATGTCGACAGATGCATGCGAAATGTGTCCCGAAAATGGCCTGCTTACTCCCTACTCCGTCGAGGTTTGACGTTGCTACTGGTTATATAACCAAACCGGACACACCGTATTCACTGATCTTTTCATTTCGAGGTCTGCTCGACTGTGGCCATCACACTAGCTATTCTTTATGGACAGCGGTGTTAGCATACGTTTCCGAGGTCCGATCCTATTGAAATGCTGACAATAGCGACGCACCGATCGCCAGAACGCTCACACGACTTAACTGAACTTCCGGACTTCTGAAAGAGCCCACTTGTAACTGATGTGTGTCGCGATAATGATCAATGTGTCCTTGTTCGGAAACAGGGTCACGCAACCTGACAGTAAGATCTTCGCGCAAGGCAGATCAGTATGCTAGTTATGGCAATTTCGGCCACATATCAGAGCAGCTCTGGATATGTGGCACCTCGACCAATTATCCTGATGTCCGCAAAGTCGAACTCATGGCCTGCCGTCCGTGTGTGTGCGTCTGTGTGTGTGTACAGCGACAGGAGGGAGTGTACCACCCTCGAACGATCAAGTTTTGGTTATGTTTTTCTGTCTGTAGGACTGGTCAACGGGCCGTGCTGACACTTGACCCCTGTCGTAGTACATTGTGTTACATTGGAAGCACGTGAGGTTTCTAGCCGAAAATGTCATGACCAGTTCTCTGTGCGCAACTACGCAGGCACCGGTTTTCGAAGGATGAGCTAGCGTAAATACAGGATGTTATTTGCTTGTTCATTTAAGTAGCCGAAGTAAGTTAAAACTCTATCAAAGACGGTTTAAACAAAAGGCCGCCATCGGACGCCTGTGGTCATAGCTATAAGACTGTGCTGTTTAGATTGCCTTCCCATACCTTCTGATTTTGATTTCATTACTTTGTGTTAAACGACCTTTTTAGTGAGGCTGGAAGATCGAGATTCTGTGCCGTTGGATCGGATTCAAAAGACTGCCTGTCCTCCAAGTGTGTCAGCCCAGCCTGCCAGTTGAAGTGAGAACAGTGAATCGTTCCAGCATCGTTTCCTTAAGTCGGGGATTGCAGCACTGGAGGAGTAATCGATTGCCATAAGTCTTAACACGCAGGACAGCCATCAAATCAGTTCAGCACAGACCACCAAATTTAACCTGCCTATTCCTTACTGTCTTAGATCCTTTGGCACAACTGTGATTGATGGCGCATCTGTTTTGCAGTCTATAATTAAGTACACCTGCACCTGAAGTGGTACGAACACTCATCCTGCATACGAGGTCACAAGAATTGTGTCGGAACTCGAAAATATTCTATTCATAAACCGCGGAAAGTCCGAGGTATCATTTGAAACTCTGAAAAAAACCGATAATGGGCTTCTAATGTGTTGAAATTTTTAAAATCCCTTATCCACTGGAAACACAAGGCAAATGTGAAGTGCCCTCTTTAACGTCTACTGACAGAGAAAACTGCAGCCACCGCTTGTGGCAAGGGTACCGTCGCTAGCCAGTTAACCACGGGTGTCAGGTGTGAATTCATTTCAGTTTGTCACTAAGTGAAGTGCTTCAAGGGATAAACCATGAGATCTCGTCCTGCTTGGCTGCACTGTGTAATACTGAGAATAAAGTTCGCCGGCCTGGCCTCAGTGGAAAACCGAATACGGAACCTTAAGATTTCCGATTTAGAACGCTTGCAGGCTGCTGAAAGGTGAAGATTGGTTAACGATTGCAAAATTCAACCAACAAAGACAAGGGGGGATTTAGCTGACCATTTACGGTAGCACGTTTCCCTTGTAGTCGGACCATTTTGATGTCCACTGCTCCCCTTGTAACTGTCTACTCAAGAAGCACTCTTTGGCACTTTTCCAAACTCTCCTCAACTTCCTTGGCTGCACACGTATTCGGACGACGGCCTACCACCCAGCTGCCAACGGCATGGTTGAGCGTTTCCACCGCCAGCTAAAAACTGTACTGCGTGCCGCAGAAGATCCCGAAAACTGGTCAGACAATGTACCCGTTGCACTTCTTGGCATTCGTGCGGCACTGAAGTCAGACTTGGACTGCAGCACAGCCGAAATGGTTTTCGGCCCTACCCTCCGACTCCCGGGTGAGATGGTCACCCCAACCTCTCGTGATGCCGAAGAGACCCCCGAAAATTTTGTGCATCGTCTGCGACAATTCATGCGCTCGCTTTCCCCGGTTTCACCTCGAGCTCCATCGACCGAGCCTTATGTTGAAAAAGGATTAGCCAACTGCACCCATGTGTTCGTTCGGTGTGATCGTGTGCGGAAGCCGCTAGAATCACCATACGAAGGACCGTTCCGTGTGCTTACACGTAACAGCAAGACCATTCGGATCCTGCGAGGTGACAAAGAGGACGTAGTCAGCATCGACCGGGTCAAGGCTGCAGAGGAGCCCCCGGACGTGTCTCAAGGACAAGCATGTGCTGACCCCATACCTCCTCCCACTCCTTTTCCACTTCCCCCACCTATCCCTCCGTCCCGTATACTTCCTCTTCCTTCTTGTTCGCAGCATCAAACTGCAGCCTCTTCCTCCACCCTTAACTTGTCCACTACAACACCTACTTAGCTGCCTCCAACAGTGCCTCCCGCATATATCACCCGCAGTGGACGTCACGTTCACTTTCCCGATCATCTAGTTACTCATTTCTCCTAGACCTTTGTATGTCCTCCGGCGTCGTTCACGCCGCCCTCCGGTCTCGGAGGGGGGTTCTGTGCTGAAGTACTTGACTACTTGACCTTTGACAATCTTGTCACGTTTGCTTTACTGTAGCATTTGTTTTAACGTGACGAAGACTCCGTCGCTTGTAAGCTTCGCGCCGCTTGCATGCTCTCTGGTCAGGTCGTTGCACATTTTGAATATTAACTTTATTTACTTACTGGCCTTCCTTATCTCTCTCCGTTTATGAGGTTAGTAAGCCGTAGTTCGTTAGTTCGCCGGAACGACACAATTTACGTCAGGCCTTCCACTACTAACCTCAATTTGACTTCTTTTGAAGACATTTTTTATCGGTAGAGCCTTAAACTAAATGGTTGGACACAGGGCTAAGTAATCCCCCGCCCAGTCTGAACTGTGTTCCTAGTGTGCCTGCCTCTTCTATTTACGTAGGCACAAGCGGTTACCAGTCAGGGGTGTCTGCGCGAACGCTTTCACACAAGCAAGCAGGCGTCTAACAGAAAACTGACAGAAGACAAAAAAACGACGGAAACGGTAAGGTTGGGTGTAAACAGAGGCCACAGGCCTCGTCGTTTGTCATGGCACGAAGGCGGCAGCTGGGCTAATGGTAGGAAATAAAAGAAGGCCGAATGTCTGCGACACTGGCGACAGCAGAGGAGAAAAAAACAGCGCAAACTGGGGATTGGCTGGTAGAAAATCAACGAAGGACTAAGAAGCTCACTAGCATTCACTGTCTGATTTTAGTGTCCATCAGCAGAAAACCGACTGATTGCTGCGATGTCGGACCTAGCAGATGCGAAAGGCGAAGTTCAAAATGCATGGGCCCACAAGGGAGGTTTAGGCGCCATTTACTGGGTTTGAAAGGAATCCCTGGGGGGGGGGGAGGTAACGAAGTGGATGTCAATGTTCCTTAAGGGGCAATGTGCTTCCCCTGAGGTTGTGAGCAACAAGGTTCACCGTCTACAGCTTAAAGCCACTAAATGGATTAGCAGTCGGCAACACAATAGAAGAACAAAGGATGTTTTCCAGCTGCCTTGTCGGTGACTAGTGCAGAACCGACCGTAAAGTATGATGTAGGTGGAAAATGTTATATAAGACGTAGGCAAGAAGAGCAGGGATCAACTCGGTCGACTCGATGCCAATCAGACAGGGAAGGAAGAAGGCGCTGTTCATGGCACCTGACCTCCAAGATTACTACTAATGTGCACCAGGCTACCCAAATCACACAAGTAGACAGTCTATATGAGCGTATTTTATGTGTGATGCTTATTCCCATGTCCCACTGACTAACGCTCGATAAACAAAGAACGCGGTGTCGAGGCTCAGGTAAGGTTAACTGGCGACGGCTAATAAGCCGGAAATGTCACCCCAGTATCCTCTGTCTTTGTTGATATTCCTCTTCCGTGTATATTACTAGTCGCTGCACGACGGCCTGCGAGGGCTTCAGACTGCGTTCAAGGGCACAACGGGACGAGCATGTCCCGTGATTCGATCTGTGAACCCATTTACAATGTAATATATCAAAATACTCACGAAGGCAGCGGGATGCGGAAGGGCTGACTTGGACTGCTTGTTGGATTCCAATCAGAAAGCGCAGTTTGACGATATTTTGAACAGGTTCGCATTTGTATTAATGCGTTTGAATACAGATTGCCTAATAGTGTATTGGGAGTTGTTGCCTCCTGTCTTGGTGAATCAGCCTGTACCTCACTGCATATACTAGTTTCAAAAATCCATTTCACGTCAAAGCTTCCAACTAAAGATGATCATTTTTCAATGGGTACTGTGGAACAATTGAAACTGAAAACCTCTTTCCACTTAACTGAAAAGTAGAACCAGGTGTGTATGCCTGGATTATTCGACTAAGATCGGATCAGGCAAACAGTCAGTCACAATTTTTTGCGGTGCAAGTGGCACCTTTAGAACTTCTTTTTCCGGCGACCACACCTCATTCAGATTGGATAAACGATGCATTTTATGCTCCCCACGACAGGATATAGCACCTTTTCGCATGGTATTGTGAACGTTTTTAAGTTAATGTTACGTCACTTGCTTTTCACGCAATGACTTGTGCGTGAATTAATTTATGAGGATAGTGGGTTCGCGCAGCATCCGACACCCTCTCCTTCCTCACCAACCTGAGCCAACTGCCACGAGAGTGACAAAGAAGTCGAGAGGCGGGATCGACCGCAGTGCCCACCAAAGCTAAACAGCCTGTTTGCGCACGCTATACACGCCCACATCGCGCACAAGGGACCAGTATTTTAGTGTTACGAAAATTCCCATAGCAGTAATCAGAAGACGAGGTGGCGAGCATACGTAGATTTCGATAAATACTCTTCGGTCCAGTACAGTTATATGGGAACGAGGTAGAAGTAAAACATGTCAGCGATAAGAGAAATCGATAAAAGTTCCCCTTAAAACGCAGACGGGGTGTGGGAATGTGGGGGGAGGATAATAGCAGTCAGTGTCAGGGGCGGGGTGAGAGAGAAAGGGCGCGGAGAGTTGCAGCGTTAGTCGACTTTCGACCACTGTAGGCGCGGAGCCTGAACGTGGTTCTTCTGCGCGCATAAGACTGGCTTTCGTACCCTGATGGCGGCCGCTTCTGCCGCTTGAGCCGTAAGCTCAATCACATCTAGATAAAGTTGCCAGCCCAACCTACTGTAACGTGGAATCTACCAATTCGATAATATAAGTCTATAACACGTAGTCGTACCCGAAATGCATCAGAGTAAGGTTCAGTGAAATCAAGGAAATTGTTATCTTAAGTACGGAGTCGTTCGCGATACTTTTTGACTGCAATCGTCCTTTAAAGGAAGCTCGATATAGAATAACGACATAGGCCATGATATAGCTTATCAAAATATTGGTCAATAATTGGAAGCTCAGATTACTGCCGTCTGAGAAAACTTATGAACAACTTTCCTGTTATTCAGTTCATGAGGCTGGAAGGTAAGATCACCAATTCCATGTTCGTGAATTGAAGTTCGCTTGAAAACGCCGAGAACGGAGCGTACAGAAAGGCTCCCGACACAATAAAAACTTCAATCCCACCATGAAGTCGTTCGGTGCAGTGTCAGACCACGTTTTCGGAAGGTTTCGAAGCAAAAACGTGAATATGATGAGTGCAGTATGTAAGCAATCAGTCTTTAAGAAACGTCACCATCAGACCTTCACTAACCGGCGCCGCCATACTACCTCACAGAGGACAAACAGAATGACCCACTTAGACTTTGGCACTTCACACAGTACATAAAAATTTCCGTTCAAGCGAAGGAGCATACTTCCAAATTTTGGGGGTATCAGCAATACCCAGTAGCCAGGGGGCATGATGCGTAGAGGACCAAGGGCTGGCCGAATTACGGCGGATAATTTTTGGTCGCCTATGAAATTCGACGCCGCCATTGCCCCCGTAAGTTCACTGGTAAAGTCACGAGAAGACTGAACTCATGACTACGCGAGCACATGGTTTTCAGCGCCGGGTGTGACCCTTTGTCCCAAATCGTTGCCATCCCCTGGATGAAGGCAACTTCGCGGAGAAGAAGTCAATAACGAGGGTCTGGATCAGTACAGATCGACGGCTGGTCCAGGCACGAACCTCTGTCGATCTCATAAGCCCGCATGTGGGTATATCTCCCACCGTTGCGCCCCAGCGTCAAGTGTCGCGACCACTTTTCACTTCACGGATGGAAGCGAATATGCGAATCCCAGGTTCTTGTTGTAAAGAAGACGAAGACCCGATCTCTGGGACAGTAGGTTTATAAGTCTGAGCTTTCGGTCTCGTACAGGAGGCAATCGTCAGAGTCTGTGAGAAGGCAACATCAAATGAGCGGTTTTTGTAGTCACGCCATGAAGGGGGGGGGGAGAGATATGAGTGCAGAGGGTGGTATTCGCGATAAGTTGAGTCCCACGCCGTCTCACGGTGGCGTGACTGCGTGCACCCTTGG